TCTTTGTAATCCCAATTAGTAAATATGTCCATAAATGGTGAGCTGCCCCATAACCCTAGTACCACAATTATTATTCTAAGTGAGTGGAACTAATCCAATTCTGTCTCTTTCTCACTTTGTAATCCCAAGTGAAAGAACCTAATCCAATTCTCCCTCTCTCTTTGTAATCCCAGTTCATAAATATGTCCACAAATGGTGATATCTCACTATGACCTCAAGAACTTTTACTGCCGTTGTTATTTCAAGTGAAAGAACTAATACAGTTCGGTCTCTTTCTATCTCTCTTTGTAATCCCAATTAGTAAATTTATCTATAAATAGTGGGACGCTTCACTGTGACCCCAGGAACTATTATTATTATTATTATTATTATTATTATTATTATTATTATTATTATTATTATTCCAAGTGGAAAACCTAATCAAATTCTCTTTCTTTGTTATCCCGATTCATAAATATGTCCATAAATGGCGGTGTCTCACTGTGACCTCAAGAACTCTTCTTATTGTTGCTATTATTCCAAGTGAAAGAACCTAATCCAATTAGTAATCTCTTTGTAATGCCAATTAGGAATATGTCTATAAATGGTGAGCCCAAGAACTATTATTATTATTACTCCAAATGAAAGAAAATCAAATTCTTTCTCTCTCTTTGTAATCCCAATTACTTAATATCTCTATAAATAGTGAACCCAAGAACTTATTATTATTATTATTATTATTATTCCAAATGAATGAAACTACTCCAATTGTCTTATTCTCGCTTTGTAATCCCAAATGAAAGAACCTAATCCAATTCCCTCTCTCTCTCTCTTTGTAATCCCAATCAGTAAATATATCTGTAAATGGTGGGATGCCTCACGGTGACCCCAAGAACTATTATTATTATTATTATTATTATTATTATTATTATTCCAAGTGAATGAAACTAATGCAATTATGCCTCTCTCTTTGCTCATAATAGAATATCCTGAAGCAGAGCCAGTGATTTCCTACTGAAATGTAAGTCATATGAATATTGCTTTGGTTATTTTGCATTGATCATGGACGGATTTAATGTTGATACTGTGCAATAACTGGGGTGCTATGGTATATATATATTATGTATGTTAAGGTTCCTTTTTATACATGTAAATGTAGTGCCAAAGACTTTACTACTACTAGAATACCACTGAAAGGAACAGAGAAGAATCAATGACCTGAGGAAGGTGTTCCTACTACAAACACCGAAACAAGGAATACTACCCAGCATACCTTGTAGTAACCTTTGTCACCTCGTAGAGCTCTTCTCTGACACTACTACAACTTTGTATGCAACAAACGGTCCTCCAAGATATCTTACACTGACTATTTGAATCATTAGACATATTCTGTCAATATATTGGAGTACTGTGTTTTTTTGTTTTTGTTTTTGTCTTTGGACCATAATTTTTATTTATCGTATCGGGAGCAAACCAAGGGTACAGTTGCAATGCATTTAAAAAAGAACATTTTTTTTAAAAAAAAACAAAAAAACCTTGGCATTATATTAAATGTCCTTTGACCAGAAGCTGGCCACTTGGATTGCCTCTGGTGTGGCTGTGAGAAGGTCCTCCACTGTTCATGTGGCAGGTCTCAGGCTGCATTGTAATACGTGGTTTGCTCTTCTCCACACTTGCATGTCGTGGACTCCACTTTGTGGCCCCATTTCTATTCATTTATTTATTTTACATTTGTTATACATTGTTTATTTTACAGCAGATTCATATTATTCAATACAACCTACCATACTGTAACTTTTGGCATCTACTGTTATTTTTCTGCTTATACATATTATCTATTCTCACCACTGTGCTCCCCTCCCCACCCACCCCCAAGCCACAACTTTTACATATCATCTGTCCTAAATTTCAATTCCTCTTGTGGAGGTGCCTTTCCCTCTTTCTTTTTAAATCCTTTTTCAATAAATTTTCTCCATACATAATCAAAATCACTTTGTTTCCATATACCTCCTTTTAACTTTTAATATACATGTCAGCTTATCATTTATTGCCAATTTCCACACTTCCTTGTACCACTCCTCTATTTCTCTTTTCCAATTCCTTGCTATAAGCAGTCTTGCTGATTACTATGTTAATTAAGAGAAGATTGATGGCTCCCATTTGAAATTTATTTACTGACATTTATTTACAATAGATATAAGATTTGTTCCTTTATGTTGTTTACATAAGTTAAAAAAAACCTGTCGAATGATATAACACATTTGATGTTTCAAATATAACAATAACATACTATTTCTTGTATCTAAGCATATCTTTCTTTGTTAACCCAATTAGTACATATGCCTATAAATGGTGGAATGCCTCACTGTGACCCCAAGAGCTATGATTTTGGGTTGTTGTAGGTTTTTTCGGGCTATATGGCCATGGTCTAGAGGCATTCCCTCCTGACGTTTCGCCTGCATCTATGGCAAGCATCCTCAGAGGTAGTGAGGTCTGTTGGAACTAGGAAAAAGGAATGATCAGGGTGAGACACAGGATTCTTGTCTGCTGGAGCTAGGTGTGAATGTTTCAACTGACCACCTTGATTAGCATATAATGGCCTGACAGTGCCTAGAGCAAACTTTTTTTGAGAGGTGATTAGATGATCCTCTCACTTCTGCAAGAGTCTACCATGTACCATGCAGATGTGGACAAGTCTACATAGGGACCACCAAACGCAGCATTGCCCAAACACGAATCAAGGAACATGAAAGGCACTGCAGACTACTTCAACCAGAGAAATCAGCCATAGCAGAGCACCTGATGAACCAACCTGGACACAGCATTTTATTTGAGAACACAGAAATGCTGGACCACTCTCACAACCACCATGTCAGACTACACAGAGAAGCCATTGAAATCCACAAGCATGTGGACAATTTCAACAGAAAGGAGGAAACCATGAAAATGAACAAAATCTGGCTACCAGTAGTTACAACAGCACAACAACAGAGAGGAAACAAACAAGGACATCTAACCACCTCTCAACAAAAGTTTGCTCAGGCACTATTTATTTATTTATTTATTTATCGTGTCATCAGCAACCATACCATTGTATTACATTTCTAACAGAACAAAACAAACACACAGATTAAAAAACAAAAAAAACACAGATTTTGCAAACTTGGTAGTTGGTTAAATGTCCTTTGACCAGTATCTGGCCACTTGGAGTGCCTCTGGGGTTGCCGCAAGAAGGTCCTCCATTGTGCATGTGGCAAGGCTCAGGGTGCATTGCAGCAGGTGGTCAGTGGTTTGTTCTTCTCCGCACTCGCATGCCGAGGATTCCACCCTGTAGCCCCATTTCTTAAGATTGGCTCTGCATCTCGTGGTGCCAGAGCGCAGTCTGTTCAGCGCCTTCCAAGTCGCCCAGTCTTCTGTGTGCCCAGGGGGGAGTCTCTCATTTGGTATCAGCCATTGGTTGAGGTTCTGGGTTTGAGCCTGCCACTTTTGGACTCTCGCTTGCTGAGGTGTTCCAGCGAGTGTCTCTGTAGATCTTAGAAAACTATGTCTTGATTTAAGTCGTTGACGTGCTGGCTGATACCCAAACAGGGGATGAGCTGGAGATGTCTCTGCCTTGGTCCTTTCACTATTGGCTGCTACTTCCCGGCGGATGTCAGGTGGTGCAATACCGGCTAAGCAGTGTCTATCTATATCAGTGGTTCTCAACCTTCCTAATGCCGCGACCCCTTAATACAGTCCCTCATGTTGTGGTGACCCCCAACCATAACATTGTTTTTGTTGCTACTTCATAGCAGCCATTTTACTGCTGTTATAAATCATAATGTAAATATTAGATATGCAAGATGTATTTTCATTCACTGGACCAAACTGGGCACAAATACCCAATGCACCCACATGTAAATGCTAGTGGGGTTGGGGGAGGATTGATTTTGTAATTTGGGAGTTGTAGTTGCTGGGATTTATAGTTCACCTATAATCAAAGAGCATTCTGAACTCCACAAGCGATGGATTTGAACCTAATTTGCCACACAGAACTCCCATGACCAACGGAAAACACTGGAAGGGTTTGGTGGGTATTGACCTTGAGTTTGGGAGTTGTAGTTCACCTATATCCAGAGAGCACTGTGGACTCATGCAATGGTGGATCTGGACCAAACTTGGCACAAATACTCAATATGCGCAAATGTGAACACTGGTGGAGCCTGGGGAAAATAGACCTTGACTTTTGGGAGTTGTAGTTGCTGGGATTTATAGTTTATTACAATCAACGAGCATTCTGAACTCCACCAACGATAGAATTGGCTCAAACTTCCCACATGGAATTCCATGACCATCAGAAAATACTGTGTTTTCTGATGGTCTTTGGTGACCCCTCTGACATCCCTTTGCGACCCCCTCAGGGGTCCCGAAACACTGCTCTAGGCACTGTCAAGCCACTGTCAAGGTGGTCATTTGAAACATTCACACCTAGCTCCAGCAGACAAGAGTCCTTTGTCCCACCCTGGTCATTCCACAGATATATAAACCCTTTTTCTTACTTCCAACAGACCTCACTACCTCTGAGGATGCTTGCCATAGATGCAGGCGAAACGTCAGGAGAGAATGCCTCTAGACCATGACCATATCGCCCGAAAAAACCTACAACAACCCAGTGATTCAGGCCATGAAAGCCTTCGACAATAAACTATGATTTTGATTATTTAAAGTGAAAGGGCCTATTTTTTTTCCTTGGCAAATGCAGCCCCCCCCCCTCCTTTACTGAAGTTTTCTCTCCTTCTGATCCCACTGAATTCAATTAATGTGCTTATAAATGGCGGGGTGCCTCCTTGTGACCCCAAAGTCCCTCCAACACAGGGCCAGAGCGAGGCCTCCGGAGGGAGAAGGCCTCCCGGGGGAATCAAGGCAGAGCTGCGGTGCGGCCTAGCCCGGCCTCCTTCCTCCTTGCGCCCAAGGAAAGCCTCGTCCCCACCCGCCCGCCTCTTCCCCTTCCCCGGGGAGAAAGGGAGGCCGCTGGCTGTTACCTTTTCGGTGCGGCCTGCTCCATCCTGACGCCAGCGGCTCCGCAGGCCCCCCTGACTGGGCCTGGCCGAGGAAGGATCCCCTTCAGAAACTCTCCTCACAACTTTCGCCCGCTGCTGGCCCTTTAAAACGCCCCCTCCTCTTCCGGAGCCGCACTTCAATCGCAACCCCTCTGCCACTCAAGCGTAGGCCCACCCACAACCCTTCCTATTGGCTGCAAGGGGGTTCTGCTTAACGGCTATTGGCCCTCGCAAAAGCCAGAAAGCGGAAGAGAAAGTTGCTTCAGGCCCGGTGAATCTACGAAGGGACTCAATGGCCAGGAGGGACCAGGAAAGAGGAGAGGGATTACGTCATCGTGATACGTCATCGACGGAGGGCCGTAAGGGCTCTTTTGCCCATCGTGCACCGCGCCAATATGGTCTCCCAATGGGGAACGGTGCATGTTGGGCAATGTAGTCTTTGCTCATAATAAAACAGGACTCAACAGCAAAACAGCAGAGAGGGAACAACCAGGCACATCTTAACACCTCTCAACAGAACATTTCCCTAGGCTCAGCCAGGCCTTCAAATGCTAATGAAGGTGGTCAGCTGAAACATTCACACCTAGCTTCAGCAGAGAGCTCTTGGCCCCACCCCAGTCATTCCACAGAGGGCGAACAAATTGAAATTGAATCCAGACAAGACAGAGGTACTCCTGGTTAGTCGCAAGGCCGAACAGGGCATAGGGTTACAGCCTGTGTTGGATGGGGCCGCACTCCCCCTGAAGACGCAGGTTCGCAGCTTGGGTGTGATCCTGGACTCATCGCTGAGCCTGGAGCCCCAGGTCTCGGCGGTGACCAGGGGAGCATTTGCACAGCTTAGGCTTGTGCGCCAGCTGCGCCCATACCTTGGGAAGTCTGACTTGGCCACGGTAGTCCACACTCTGGTTACATCCCGTTTAGACTACTGCAACGCTCTCTACGTGGGGTTGCCCTTGAAGATGGCCCGGAAGCTTCAATTGGTCCAACGTGCGGCAGCCATGTTACTAACAGGAGCGGGACGCAGGGAGCACACAATGCCCTTGTACCAGCTCCACTGGCTGCTGATTTGCTACCGGGCCCAATTCAAGGTGCTGGCGTTGGCCTATAAAGCCCTAAACGGTTCCGGCCCAAGATACCTATCTGACCGCATCTCGGCCTACGAGCCCACAAGAACTTTGAGATCGTCCGGGGAGGCCCTGCTCTCGATCCCGCCTGCCTCACAGGCACGCCTGGCGGGGACGAGAGACAGGGCCTTCTCGGTGGTGGCTCCTCGGCTGTGGAACACCCTCCCCGTGGACATCAGACTGGCTCCCTCCCTGATGATATTCCGCAGGAAATTAAAGACCTGGCTGTTCAAGAAGGCGTTCGAACAAGAAGTGCAATAATTGGTAATGACAACAGGAATGGAACAACGGAAAATGATACTGGATTGTGGTTCAAACGATGAGATGACGTGAATGGCTGTTTGTATTATTGGTATTGTTGATGTTTTTTGATAATGATGTTTTTGGTTATTGCTAGATTGATATTTTAGATTGTCTTGAATTTTGAACCTTGTTTTTCTATGTTGTACACCGCTGTGAGTCGCCCCCGGGCTGAGAACAGCGGTATATAAGCAAAGTAAGTAAGTAAATAAATAAATAAACAGGAGAGTGACTTAATTCATATACACCTGGTGCACATCGCCTGAGGATTATTGTATACCATGATTTGTAATAATTTTGTGCACACTGAATCATCATAAAACAAAGATGCAAAGATGTCACTGTTTTAGGATGCGTCTACACTGTAGAGTTGATCCACTTTGACACCCTTTCAACTGCTATGGCTGAATACTGTGGAATCTTGAAAGCTGTAGTTTTATCAGGTGTTCAGCCTTCTCTGAGAAATAATGCAAACCACATCTCCCAGGATTCCATAGCAATGAGCCATGGCAGTTAAAGTGGTATCAAACTGAATTAATTCTACAGTGTAGACTAGGCATGGGCAAACTTTGTCCCTACAGGTGTTCTGGACTACAATTCCTAACAGCCTCAGTCCTCTTCCTTTTCACCCTCAGCCGCTTAAGCGGCTGAGGGTGAAAAGGAAGAGGCCCGAGGCTGTTAGGAATTGTGGGAATTGTAGTCCAGAACACCTGGAGGGACGAAGTTTGCCCATGCCCGGTGTAGACGCACTCTCAGTCACCCATTTAGATAATTTCAGGATGAGGGATGCTCAAACTGTTTAGCAAGCCTTGCAAATGCTGATTTCTTTTCAGTAAATGTTTGGTTTTTATACTTATTTTATTCTTCAATACCTGGGGTCACATAAAATGTTTTCGGGCCAAAACAGGTGGAAAAGTTTAAGAAGCTCTGTCCTAGAGCCCTGTTTCTTCAAATGGGTCACACACAAAAATTGGCAACAGTAAAAGTTTTCCGGAGCCCCCGGTGGCACCGTGGGTTAAAGCACTGAGCTGCTGAGCTTGTTGATCGAAAGGTCGCAGGTTCGATTCCAGGGAGCGGCGTGAGCTTCCGCTGTCAGCCCTAGCTTCTGCCAACCTAGCAGTTTGAAAACATGCAAATGTGAGTAGATCAATAGGTACCGCTCTGGCGGGAAGGTAACGGCGCTCCATGCAGTCATGCAGGCCACATGACCTTGGAGGTGTCTACGGACAACGCTGGCTCTTCGGCTTAGAAATGGAGATGAGCACCACACCCCAGAGTCAGACATGACTGGACTTAATGTCAGGGGACTACCTTTACCTTTTTAAAAGTTTTCCAAATGCCACCTAGTGGCTGTTTTAGACATTTACATGAACCTGTAGTGCAGCATTTACAGTGGGCTCTGTAGGAGATGCTGCTGCCACACTTCATAAAAAGGTATTGTCCTTGCCTCTTACTACTTTTCTATCCAAAGTCTTGTCTAGTTGTAGTTTTAGCAGATGTTTAGCCTTCTCTGAGAAATAGTGCAGCTCTTATCCTTTTGCTGCTTTATCACCAATGCACTTTACTCATTAGACCTACTTTTACATTGTTGTACACCAGATCATACTCCTACAATGAGACTTGAATTGGTGGTTGTTCCTGATGCTTGTTTTATTGTTTTTTATAATGTTGCATATGTTGTTTTTATATTGATTGTTGCATTTTGTACATGCTATGTTTTAACTGTTGACTGGGCTTGACCCCATGTAAGCCGCTCCGAATCCCTTCGGGGAGATGGAGGGAAGGTATAAAAATAAAGTTTTATTATTATTATTATTATTATTATTATTATTATTATGTAAAATACAACAAGATGTGTCCACAGCAAACAAGATCACTTTGCTGGCTGTTGTATTTGATCACACATTGGACACTTCCCAAGTGTCTAGGACTGTGTGATGCATCGGTGAATAATGCATGCAGATCCCTGTAGGGTGGCCTTTTGCAGCTGACAGATGGTAATTTTGTCAGCGCTGATTGTGTTTAAGTGCAGGCCAAGGTCTTTAGGCACTGCACCCACTGTGCCGATCACCACTGGGAACACCTTGACTGGCTTGTGCCAGAGTCTTTGCAGTTCAATCTTTAAATCCTCGTATCGTGTCAGCTTTTCCAGTTGTTTCTCTTCAATCCTGCTGTCACCTGGGATTGCAACATCGACAATCCATAAAACTCTGTCTGTCTGAATTCGGAAGTCGCAGAGTAGTTTGACGTGTTCGTTTTCTGTAACTTTTTCCGGCTTGTGATTCCACCAGTTCTTTGCCACAGGCAGATGGTATTTATGGCACAGGTTCCAATGAATCATCTGAACAACAGTATTTATGCCTCTGCTTGTAGTCTGTCTGCGCGATCTTCTTGCAGCAGCTGAGGATGTGATCTATTGTTTCATCTGCTTCCTTGCAGAGTTTACATTTGGGATCTGTTGTTGACTTTTCAATTCTGGCTTTGATGGCATTGATGGCATTGGTTCGAATGGCTTGTTCTTGGGCTGCCAGAATCAGGCCCTCCATCTCCTTTTTCAAAGTTCCATTTGTGAGCCACATCCACATTATCTGCCTTGAACTGGATTATATGAGTCTGTACTGCTATATAATCCAGTCAAAGATGGATTATATAGCTGTGTAGAAGGAGCCTGAGGCTGAATCTACACTGTGCTACATCCCAGAATCTGACCCCAGATATCTACTTATATTATCTGGCAGTGTAGACTCATATTATCCAGTTCAAAGCAAATAATCTGGGATCAGATCCTGGAATATAGGGCAGTGTAGATCAAGCCTTAGATTGGGTATTAGATACAGATTAGATTGGGTATTAGATACAGTAGGTGTTTTTTTCCCTTATGAAATAAAACCTTACATTTAAGGAATTCCTGATCAGACTGCGAATATCCATCCATCCATCCCCACCTCTTTTTCGTTGCTTTCTTTATATCAGTTGAATAGAATAGCCAGCCACATTGATTTCCATCACATCAATGTCATGGTTTATCAGCTTCCCTCTATTATTAAAGACCTGGATGAGAGAGAAAGAGAAATGCAGTCTCTTTATTCATGAACTGGGATTGAACATTAGTGTCAGAAACATGAAACTGCAACAATAAGAGATGGAAATTTGACACGCTCGCTCTGCATTGGGTGTGAGGAGGATTAGAAGTATGGTGTTAGAGAACCTTGCCCTGTTGAAGAGAATGCACCACATAAATCAGCCAATAACCTTGGCTACATTTGTCTAGAACTAAACCAAAGAGAGAGAAAACAGGCAGAGCAGAAGTCTGTTCCCTTATCAGCTTTAGTAATCTTATTCACACTGAAACACCAGATGTAACTAAGGGGCCCAGGGGAAAATAAAAAGAAGATGGACTGTAAGAAGATGCACAGTAATGTACAATCTGCATTTACAGATCAATAAACAGATTGATAATCTGCATATACTGTTCTGCTACGAAAGGGAAATTTCTACAATATCTGCTAGCAAATGCATAGAATCCAGTGGGATTCTTATTTGACAGACTGCTGGTGAAAATCTGGGTGTCATCATGATGATGATGATGATGATGATGATGATGATGATGATGATGATGATGATGAGAAGTCGACTGATGTCTCATAAAAGGAATGACTGAGCAGACAGTGACAAAAAATGAAGTTAGTTCCTGAGGCCCCATCTACATTGCCCGGTAATGCAATTTCATAATGCAGTTTAACTACATTGAACTGCATTAAGTATGAGATCAAATTTAAAGTAAGGACTACGGTTATGCAAGT